TGTTTGTACAACTGTACACACAAACACACATTTCAGCTTTTTCTTGTCTCCCTAATTGGTTGTTTCATATAGTGGATTCCAGAAGTAGAAAAGACACGGAAAACATAGAAAAAACTGCAGTGAAACAGTTAAGAAAAATGCGACAGACATCCCTAAGCTCAAGAGAAGTGGAAGTCGCGGAAAATGTTAAAAAGAAAATAAATTTTAAGAAGTTGAGGTTCTCAAGCGCTGTTATATAGAGGCTAAAAAAGCCAGATTGGAAAATTTCGTCAATGACTTTGGAGATGATAAAACACTGGAAGAGTTCTGGAAACTGCAAAGACAAATGCAAAGACAAGATCGGCCAATGACAGTAGGAATAGTTTATTCAGACGATTAGGTGTGCTTGACAACAAGAGAAAGGGGAGGCTTTTCTCCAGAAATTTGTAACGGGCAGACATCAAAGATGCAGTTAGAGAGGATTTATCTGCCATCATACGAGTTTTAAAGATATCAAACATGTTTTAAAACAGCAAAAGACACTGCACCAGGGTATGTTGGGGTTAGGTATAGCCACATGAAGGAACTGAGCGATGAAGACATGAGGGACATCACCCCCAGTGTTTTAACCAGAGCATTAGGGCAGCATCAGTACTGCAGGGTTGGGTGCACATCTGTCTAATCTCACTTCCAAAACCTTGTTAGGACATTCATCATCAAGTGCCTTGCCAGCTGGCGTAGGTGTTCATGTGTCTCCACAGATCTCTGTCTTTGGTGTTCTGGATCAATTCCACTGATGGTATTCCTCCATTCCACTGTCTTAAGTGTTCCACTATCACTTCTCTTTTTATGCCTCTGCCTCTTCTACCAGTGATCTTTCCACATCACAATATTTTCCTGCATCTTCTACCAGTGATCTTTCCAGTCATCACAATATTTTCCAGTGCTCCTTTTCTCATCACATGACCAAAGAACGTTGTTCGTCTCCTTCTTATTGTTGTGTATATATGTTTAATTTTCATTAGACATTTTCAGGCAATCACTGTTAATTATTCTGACAGTCAAAGGTATTCACAACAATATTCTCACAAACCAGATCTCAGCGGTCTCCAATCTATTCCTAATTTGTTTGCTGACACTCCAAGATTCACTGCCATACAACAGAACAGACTCAATATAACTTTTTTTTAGAATCATCACCTTAGAAAATACATTTGAGAAGGTCGTAGAGAACATAGTCGCTGTCATGCTGAAAGTTTTGGTCTTAGAGAACAAAGTCGCTGTCAAGCTGAAAGTTTTGGTCTTAGAGAACATAGTCGCTGTCATGCTGAAAGTTTTGGTCTTAGAGAACATAGTCGCTGTCAAGCTGAAAGTTTTGGTCTTAGAGAACATAGTCGCTGTCAAGCTGAAAGTTTTGGTCTTAGAGAAAATAGTCGCTGTCAAGATAAAAGTTTTGGTCTCAGAGAACATAGTCGCTGTCATGCTGAAAGTTTTGGTCTTAAAGAACATAGTCGCTGTCAAGCTGAAAGTTTTGGTCTTAGAGAACATAGTCACTGTCATGCTGAAAGTTTTGGTCTTAGAGAACATAGTCGCTGTCAAGCTGAAAGTTTTGGTCTTAGAGAACATAGTCGCTGTCATGCTGAAAGTTTTGGTCTTAGAGAACATAGTCGCTGTCAAGCTGAAAGTTTTGGTCTTAGAGAACATAGTCGCTGTCATGCTGAAAGTTTTGGTCTTAGAGAACAAAGTCGCTGTTAAGCTGAAAGTTTTGGTCTTAGAGAACATAGTCGCTGTCATGCTGAAAGTTTTGGTCTTAGAGAACATAGTCGCTGTCAAGCTGAAAGTTTTGGTCTTAGAGAACATAGTCGCTGTCATGCTGAAAGTTTTGGTCTTAGAGAACATAGTCGCTGTCAAGCTGAAAGTTTTTTGTCTTAGAGAACATAGTCGCTGTCAAGCTGAAAGTTTTGGTCTTAGAGAACATAGTCGCTGTCAAGCTGAAAGTTTTAGTCTTAGAGAACATAGTCGCTGTCAAGCTGAAAGTTTTTGGTCTTAGAGAACATAGTCGCTGTCATGCTGAAAGTTTTGGTCTTAAGAGAAACATAGTCGCTGTCAAGCTGAAAGTTTTGGTCTTAGAGAACATAGTCGCTGTCAAGATAAAAGTTTTGGTCTTAGAGAACATAGTCGCTGTCATGCTGAAAGTTTTGGTCTTAGAGAACATAGTCGCTGTCAAGCTGAAAGTTTTGGTCTTAGAGAACATAGTCACTGTCATGCTGAAAGTTTTGGTCTTAGAGAACATAGTCGCTGTCAAGCTGAAAGTTTTGGTCTTAGAGAACATAGTCGCTGTCATGCTGAAAGTTTTGGTCTTAGAGAACATAGTCGCTGTCAAGCTGAAAGTTTTGGTCTTAGAGAACATAGTCGCTGTCATGCTGAAAGTTTTGGTCTTAGAGAACATAGTCGCTGTCAAGCTGAAAGTTTTGGTCTTAGAGAACATAGTCGCTGTCATGCTGAAAGTTTTGGTCTTAGAGAACATAGTCGCTGTCATGCTGAAAGTTTTGGTCTTAGAGAACATAGTCGCTGTCAAGCTGAAAGTTTTGGTATTAGAGAACATAGTCGCTGTCATGCTGAAAGTTTTGGTCTTAGAGAACATAGTCGCTGTGAAGCTGAAAGTTTTGTCAGAAAGAAGGAAACTTCTTCGAAGAGGTCTGTGGAGCTACAGGCCAGAAAAAGATGCATGGTCCAATGCAGTCACTTTTCTATTTGGTGTTTATGAACAGTTCCAAAATAGATAGGACACAATGGCGGTTGTGCTTGCTCTAGAGTTAGATATGATATTTTGGTGACAGCACTGATGGAGAAGAGGGCCAGTCTCTGGTTGGGGAACTGGATAGCAGATGTCCTGTATTCTCATTGGGTTGCTCTCTGTCTGGGTTCATGGATCTCAGAGCCATGTATTATAGCCCTGGGATGCCCACAGGGATCCACCATCTGGCCTGTGCTCTTTAACGTGTATGCGAGCAAGATTGCAAGTCTAGAAGCACCAGAAGTTGGAAGGATACTGACATTTACAGATGATATTCTCACATATATTTTACAAGCCAAGTCAGTGTGTTATTGGGACCATTCCAGATACCTGAGCCAGGACATACTTAGCCAAAGTTTTCACTAGAGTTACCCTTGCTTGGTCTTATGTTACTCCAGTAGACTGAGAATCTGGTTTCCTATCTGGTTTCACCCTCTTTGCATTCAGCGACTGGACATGGTTGAAGAAATGGTTGTTTTAGTTGCAGACATTTCCCAGTATTTTAATGAGGCTTATAGCAACTTTACCTTCTTGCTTCCAAAGCGTATTAAGCAATTGGTGCAAGCCTTATACTTTATAGACTTATCAACATTGATGGGTGATATGGTCATGGTCTGCATGACCAGCTTCACTGCAAATGTAGATTAAGTGCCCATTCAAAACTGGGTTTTACATTTGCGTCAATGGAAATTTTAGCCTGTGACCTCTGGGGATACCAGAAGTCATGTGTCATCATTCTATGTCAAAGCATGTTTACGTTTGTCAAAAGTCATGTGTCATCAGTCTATGTCAAAGCATGTTTATGTTTGTCAAAAGTCATGTGTTGTCATTCTATGTCAAAGCATGTATATGTTTGTCAAAAGTAAGTGTCATCATTCTATGTCAAAGCATGTTTATGTTTGTCAAAAGTCATGTGTTGTCATTCTATGTCAAAGCATATTTATGTTTGTCAAAGGTCATGTGTCATCATTCTATGTCAAAGCATGTATATGTTTGTCAAAAGTCATGTGTCATCATTCTATGTCAAAGCATGTTTATGTTTGTCAAAGGTCATGTGTCATCATTCTATGCCAAAGCATGTTTATGTTTGTCAAAGGTCATGTGTCATCATTCTATGTCAAAGCATGTTTATGTTTGTCAAAGATCATGTGTCATCATTCTATGTCAAAGCATGTTTATGTTTGTCAAAAGTCATGTGTTGTCATTCTATGTCAAAGCATGTTTATGTTTGTCAAAAGTCATGTATCATTATTCTATGTCAAAGCATGTTTATGTTTGCCAAAAGTCATGTATCATTATTCTATGTCAAAGCATGTTTATGTTTGTCAAAAGTCATGTATCATTATTCTATGTCAAAGCATGTTTACGTTTTGTCAAAAGTCATGTATCATTATTCTATGTCAAAGCATGTTTATGTTTGCCAAAAGTCATGTATCATTATTCTATGTCAAAGCATGTTTATGTTTGCCAAAAGTCATGTATCATTATTCTATGTCAAAGCATGTTTATGTTTGTCAAAAGTAAGTGTCATCATTCTATGACAAAGCATGTTTATGTTTGTCAAAAGTCATGTATCATTATTCTATGTCAAAGCATGTTTATGTTTGTCAAAAGTCATGTATCATTATTCTATGTCAAAGCATGTTTACGTTTTGTCAAAAGTCATGTATCATTATTCTATGTCAAAGCATGTTTATGTTTGCCAAAAGTCATGTATCATTATTCTATGTCAAAGCATGTTTATGTTTGTCAAAAGTAAGTGTCATCATTCTATGTCAAAGCATGTTTATGTTTGCCAAAAGTCATGTATCATTATTCTATGTCAAAGCATGTTTATGTTTGTCAAAAGTAAGTGTCATCATTCTATGACAAAGCATGTTTATGTTTGTCAAAAGTAGGTGTCATCATTCTATGTCAAAGCATGTTTATGTTTGCCAAAAGTCATGTATCATTATTCTATGTCAAAGCATGTTTATGTTTGTCAAAAGTAAGTGTCATCATTCTATGACAAAGCATGTTTATGTTCATCAAAAGTAAGTGTCATCATTCTATGTCAAAGCATGTTTATGTTTGTCAAAAATAAGTGTCATCATTCTATGTCAAAGCATGTTTATGTTTGTCAAAGGTCATCGAATCAATCAGTCACTTCTGGTTTCTGTGTTCATGTACCAGAATGGTCTTGTGAGAAGATATCAGTGTTATCAGAATGTTTGTATATGACCAGGTGGAGCTTGGAGACAGTTCAGGAGCAATGATGAGAACATCATCTGGCCGACTACTGGAGACAATACCCCAAGATGAAGAGCTGAAGACAGGAGATCTCAGCTATGTCTATGCCTCTCACAGATCCTTCTCCCAAGAAAGCTCATCTAGCATGGAAGACCTTACCTTTTCACCAAAGGTGTGTACTCTCTATGGTGTTTACATGTCATAGTTATATTTAAAATATTATATGGATTCACTCGACAGGTACCATTAGTTCAATGGTCCTATTATTAAGGAAATCCCTAATGATTGTTGCTAGAACCAAGGAGTTTATACCTTTTGCAGCACTCAGGTAGATTCATATTCTATGGAGAGACTAAACTTTATGGGATAAAATGCAGTGCACTGTCAGTGCTACATAGATTGAATGACTTGAAAATGTGCAAAATAAAACAATGAACATTAATTTGGGATGTACAAGAGACATTTCCTGTGTAGAAGTAAGATATCTACTTGACTTTCCAACCAAAGGATCAGGATCTAGAGGGCACAGGCATACCTAAAAATATGCGCTGATAAGCAACACCCACTGCATCAAGCTCTTTTCAGTGGAAAGGGTGACAGGCTGAAGAGGGAAAAATCGTGGCTAAGTTGAGCAGAAGATGTTATCAAGCAAATATATAGTCTAACAGACATCACCCCTGGTGCAGAACGGAGACTTGTGCCTCATGCGCTTATATGTACATCTTCCTGTATTGCCACACTCCACAGGCGATGCAGAGAGCTAAATCCTGTTACAGTTGATGCAGAGGTCAACGCTCTCAGCAGTGAACATTCAGACAAGGCAGATGTACTGATCTCCACAGACGGATCTGTTATAACAAAAAAGTGCATGAGTGTTCACAACACACTCAGTGGGCATTCACAACACACTCAGTGGGTATTCACAACACACTTAGTGGGTGTTCACAACACACTCAGTGGGTGTTCACAACACACTAAGTGGGTGTTCACAACACACTCAGTGGGCATTCACAACACACTCAGTAGGCATTCACAACACACTCAGTGGGCGTTCACAACAAACTCAGTGGGCATTCACAACACACTCAGTGGGTGTTCACAACACACTCAGTGGGCATTCACAACACAGTGGGCTTTCACAACACACTCAGTGGGCATTCATAACACACTCAGTGGGCATTCACAGCACACTCAGTGGGCATTCACAACACACTCAGTGGGCGTTCACAACACACTCAGTGGGCATTCACAACACACTCAGTGGGCATTCACAACACACTCAGTGGGCATTCACAGCACACTCAGTGGGCATTCACAACACACTCAGTGGGCATTCACAACACACTCAGTGGGCATTCACAACACACTCAGTGGGCATTCACAGCACACTCAGTGGGCATTCACAACACACTCAGTGGGCATTCACAACACACTCAGTGGGCATTCACAGCACACTCAGTGGGCATTCACAACACACTCAGTGGGTGTTCACAACACACTCAGTGGGCATTCACAACACACTCAGTGGGTATTCACAACACACTCAGTGGGCATTCACAACACACTCAGTGGACATTCACAACACACTAAGTGGACATTCACAACACACTCAGTGGACATTCACAACACACTCAGTGGACATTCACAACACACTCAGTGGGCGTTCACAACACACTCAGTGGACATTCACAACACACTCAGTGGACATTCACAACACACTCAGTGGGTATTCACAACACACTCAGTGGGTATTCACAACACACTCAGTGGGCATTCACAACACACTCAGTGGACATTCACAACACACTAAGTGGACATTCACAACACACTCAGTGGACATTCACAACACACTCAGTGGACATTCACAACACACTAAGTGGACATTCACAACACACTCAGTGGACATTCACAACACACTCAGTGGACATTCACAACACACTCAGTGAACATTCACAACACACTCAGTGGGTGTTCACAACACACTCAGTGGGCATTCACAACACACTCAGTGGGCATTCACAACACACTCAGTGGGCATTCACAACACACTCAGTGGGCATTCACAACACACTCAGTGGGCATTCATAACACACTCAGTGGACATAACAGTGAAAGCCATTGGCTCCTTCTCCATGACAACCAGCAGCATGACGATGGGGGTGATGGCAAGAACACAAGCATTTAGGTGGCTTGAAACACAAAACTACACCCTCACATGTGTGCTCAGTGATTCAGTGAGTATGATCTAGAGGGTTCAGGCAGGTTTGGCATAAAGGCATTGGTTTGAGTCCTTTCAGAAGTCCATTGTGCATTGAGTCACCTTTATTTTCTTTCTAGGATACACAGGCGTCGATGGAAATAAAAGCTGGTAGGTTTTCTGGATCCGCTATCACTACAGACAGTGAATCTATGGATCATGCTGGTATTTTTAATGCCCTCTAAGAAGTGGAAAGGATGGAGGACTTTGGGGGTAGTGAATCCACATCACTCACCAGAACGGCAGACATGTCAGGAGTGCAATGATGATAACCCAACTAACTGACTAAACTAACTAATTTAGTACAAGTCCCTGATAGAGCAGGAACAGTAGGCATTGTTCAGTGTCGCCTCCTGCAGCAACAAACCTTCCCTGCCTCTAACTGTGACATTGTTTACATGATTCTTGTCACCTGTCAATCATCTGTCGAAAGTTATGTCAAGTTATCTCATTGTGTTCATTCTTTTGATGTCTATACTGCACATGCTCATGACTGGCGTAGGTGTACTGACAATGTGGGTATTCAAGGAGAACCATGTTAAGGAAGCCTTGATTACCTGTGCGCTTGATTACTCTCACTACTCACTGAGTTGATCTAATTCATGCTGTAGCATTGTTGTATAATATTCTGAAATTGTAACTTTAAACACAAATGTCATTGTTTGGAATTAGAAGAATTAAATGCAGACTTTAGGCAAAATCAAGTCATTTCTGCAAATGGTCACATGTTTTGTTTCTTTTCTTATACAGCTGTAGCTTGCATTTTTATTTGCACATTGAAGATATTAAAACTGAATTCTTGAAAACAAAAGTTATTGCTAGATGTTTATTAAACAATTGTTAGTGTCTGTTTTTGTTGTTTAATGAATATTTAAACAATAAAAGAATTCAAGCATTAGATGTCACAAATTTGTTGCAACTCTCATCTCTCTTGTTTCTATATTTTTAGACAAAGAATAAAGACTCAGTCAAGTACAAAAGTAGCGGAAAGACTGGTCAAGAAAACAGCATTACTTGTTCAAAGTCTAGCTTGCGATCGAGTTTCCAGATCTATTCACATTCTCTCAAACAGAAAGTAAGCATGATCAATTTTGTCCTATTTTTTTGACTTTATCATGTCTTTATTCTCTTGTTTATGTTGTTAACTAAGTGATTTTATTATTATTTAAGAGTATTGATTATTTTTTGACTAAGCATTCCATTGAAGAAAATATTCTAATGAGAATTTCAAAGAAGGTACTGAGAGACTTTCAAGACAATGGCAGGTCCAAGATCAGAGGGGTATTCTGCTGTCATGTGACAACCATATGGAGGTTCTGGGCTCACTGCTGTCCCAAGCGTTGGCTAATTAGGGATTTTCCCTTCGAAATCAGAGTATGTTTACCTGAGAGGCAAGGAACTAATTGCTGCATACAGATAAGCCAGACCTGTAAAATGGACTCAGGTTCTGTAACTAGACTAAAGACCAGAAATGGATGAACAGACAGAACTTTCTGCCAGAGTCGCAGCCGGTGAATGTGAATAAGGAGAAGAAATGTGTGCTGTTTAACTTCATAAGATAGCCTGATCAGTAATGATGCCTGGTGTTTGTGTGATAGCCTGATCAGACATGACACCTGGTGTTTGTGTGATAGCCTGATCAGACATGACACCTGGTGTTTGTGTGATAGCCTGATCAGACATGACACCTGGTGTTTGTGTGATAGCCTGATCAGACATGACACCTGGTGTTTGTGTGATAGCCTGATCAGACATGACACCTGGTGTTTGTGTGATAGCCTGATCAGACATGACACCTGGTGTTTGTGTGATAGGCTGATCAGACATGACACCTGGTGTTTGTGTGATAGCCTGATCTGACATGACACCTGGTGTTTGTGTGATTGCATGATCAGACATGACACCTGGTGTTTGTGTTCCATTCCATGTTTTCATCTCCAGGCTGTTACCTGAAGGTTTGACATCCATAAGTATAAAGTCAGTCTGCTTCTAAAGATTAATTCCAGGGCTTTTCCAGGTCCATTGGCATTTGGGATGTTGTTTGAAGTATTTCCAGTTTTCATTTGATGTGTCCTACCCTACCCCATTCAGCCAGTTTTGCCCCTCTCTCATATGTTTTTCTAAGACCATATTGACTGTAATGTTTCATGTATTGATGGGATATTGATTAGTCTGTTACAGAAGCTCCATAGTAGTTGTGACCCATTTTTATGTTAGCATCCCTTTGAAAATTGTCATAGAAACTAAAACCCAAACCTTCATTTGATTTCCTTGATATTTATAAGTGCATTGTCCCTTTACAGGTGAGACAGTTGCAAATGGGCAGTGTTCCTGAGCAGTTGAATGCTCTTACTGAACTGAATGTTCTCATGGAGCAAGCCTGGTCAATGCCAATTTATGGTGAGTGTTTTTACATGGTTATGATTGCCCGGACTTTTAACTGTTTTTAAAAAGAAGTATTTAATCATGTGCATGTTTGGCATCTTCAAATGTTCAGAAAAGTGTACAGTTTTAGTCTCCTGTCAGATCTTCTGAACTGTGTCCAGAATCACAGTTGTATATGCTGCAGCAACCCACTCTTTTAGGTGTTGAATGTTCCTTATCTTCTGTGCATACACAGCGTTTTTATCATATCCCCACATCAAATAGTCTAGTACTGTTAGGTCTGCAGTCAGGATTTTGGTCCACTCTTTCCAACCCAGTAATTTTGGAACCTCTCATTTAAGACAAAAGAAACAGGGCTACTGAAATGAGTGGGAGTTCCATCTTGCATGATACTAACTCTACTCCCTGTTTGTTGTTCCCAGTCTTCAAGTTGTGGAAATGTATTTCTGATGAAGGATGTCAGGGTAAACATGTTGGATATTGGTGTTTTTATTGAAGAAGGGACATACAATGCGATTGTAAAGCAGTTAGGACATTCACCTTAGGTAACCTGCAAGAGTACTCGTGAATCTTACTGGTGACTGTGAACCCTAAATGGGACAGTTATCTCAAATAATGCACGGTCACACACAATGTTTAGCTTTTCTGAACATTTGAAGACACCACACATGTATATCCTTTAAAAAATACTGACAATAATTCCTAATGACTATGTATTTATAGGCAGTAAACATATTGCATATGTGTGTGTGGTGTGTGTACATGCCTAAATGAAAGTGTGAGTGTGTGCCTGCATGCATGCATGTGTCGACATGTGTGAGTGTGTGTGTGCATGCATGCATAAGTGCATGCATGTGTATCTGTGTGTAAAACCTTGTAGATTCATCGTCATATTGACTCGGAGAAAAATTGATTTGATTCGATTCAAGAACCGACATCACAGCACTCGGGGCATTCCCATAAGCGCTCTGTCCCCATCTTCAGCAGCCAGCGAAGAGTTCCGATACTAATGGTAGCATTCTGATTAAACTTTAGTCTTGCCTTTCCTCTGAGCCTCGAGCATCTGCCAGAACCTCTCGTCACCCCTAACTGCATCAATCTCACCAGACTGCCTTATCATGTATCAGTATTCTACCAAGTTGTGCAGAGCCAGCCAGTCTGTCCCCCTGTTCATTTCCCAACACACCGGCATGACAGCGGTAAAAAAATCCAGACAATACTCCTCACTTGTGTCCTCCGCAGCAAAGCATGCCACTCTGCATGAAGCATACCTGTTCTGATCTTCCTCAGCATGCTTTCTGAATCAGTTACAATCCCGATGTGTGTGTCAGTCATGTTCTCTAGCCAACGGAAAGCTGCAGTGACCACCTCTACCTCCATTCTTAAGCTGAATGTTGTGGTATCATGTGCTAGGCTCTCCTGCACAAAACGTCAACCATTAACTTTTGCTAAGAAGCCCCAAGCACTTCTTTTGCCTCTTGACACTGAACCGTCTGTGTAAATGATCAAATCCTCTGAGCGAGCATTATCTTGAATTAATTGCTGAATTTCCACCTCTGTGGCACCTGCTGGCCAGTCTCTACATTCCCAGCTCAAAATGATTATGACTCTACACAAGTCTGACTGTTCAGGTGGCACTTTGACCCACTCCTCTCCTCGCCTAATGTTCTCAAGGATGCAGACCTGTCTGATTGTGACTTCTGCCTGAGCCATCCATGACCTCCCTCTTATCAGCCGCTGACCCTTATATGGTTTCTACCATCTCTGTGAGACTTGGGACATTAGTTTTAACGATTCTGTTGTCCAGAGAACACCACAAAACAGACGCCTTTTCCGGGTGGACGACAGCTCTCATTTCTGTACACCACTCAGTCACTTTGTCCACTGTCGCTTGTAGCTCCCGGGCTGTTTGCTCCCTCTCTTCCCCCCTGCCTATATGCAAGTATATCATCAGCAAAAGTCAGTATCCTTCCAACTCCTGGTGCTTTTAGGCTTGCAATCTTGCTCGTATACACGTTGAAGAGCACAGGCGAGATGGCGGATCCCTGTGGCAGTCCTGGGGCCAAAGTGCACGGTTCTGAGGTCCATGAGATCAATCGGAGAGCAACCCGACGTGAATACAGGACAGCTGCAACCTTATTCACCAGCCATGGACTGACTTCCTTCTCCTTCAGTGCAGTCATTAAGATGTCATATCTCACTCTGTTATAAGCATCCTCAAGATCCAGTCCTACCACCATAGTTTCCTGTCTGTTCTGGAACCCTTCATAGACGTCAAAAGCAAAAGTGGCGGCATTTGCCCAAGTGTCCTTTCCTGGCCTGTAGCTTCTCAGACCTCTTGGAAGAAGCTTCCCCCTTTCCAAAAATTCTTGCAGCTTTACAGCAACTATCTTCTCCAAGACCTTCCCAAATGTGTTTTGTAAGGTGATGATTCTAAAGCCACAAAGCTTAGAATGATCTTTAAAAGGTTTTGGTAGTGGGATTAGATAGCTGTGCACCCAGTCTTGCGGTACTGATGCTGTCTTAATGCTCTGGTTAAAACAGTCAGCCATCTCCGCCAGGTCTACATCGCTCAAAGCCTTCATATGACCATACCTGACTCCATAAGGCCCTGGTGCAGTGTCTTTTGCTTTTTTCAAAATTTGTTTGATATCTTCCCCTTGTATCATGTCTTCATAATGCATATTTTTCAAGGTGCCAGCTAACTCCTTTCTAACTGCATCCCTGATGTATATATCATTATAATCTGTCTGAGCTATAAACCTATGGAGAAAAGCCTCCTCTTTCTCCTTGTCTGTTGTCACACGCACACCATCGTCTCTACAAATTGTTCCTACTGTCATAGGCCGATCTTTTCTTTGCATCTGCCTTTGCAGTTTCCAGAATTTCCCCAATGTTTTATCGCCTTCCATGTCATTCTCAAATGTTTCCCACTTTGCTCTTTTGTCCTCTGCAGCACAGCGCTTGAAAACCCCCACCTTATCTTTTTTTCACATTCTCCGCCATCTCCACTTCCTCTCGTGAGCTTGAGGGTGTCTGTCGTAATTTGTTTAGCTGCTCCACTGAGGCATCTTTGCCTTCCCCGCCTGTTCTACTTCTGGAGTCCACCATGGGGGCTGTAGAAAATTAGTTCTGGCAGTTCTGTTGCATGCTCCCCGACTGAGGTGTTAAAGTAGGTTGTTGGAAGGTCTTGCGGAGAAAAATGACAATTAACAGAAATCAGATTCATTTAGATTATGACTATGCATTTCATCCTAATTAACCTGCCTTGTTTACCAATTAAGTAAGGGGCTTAACAGGTTACTTGCAATATAAAGAATGAGATGAAAAAAATATTAGCCAGTTAACCCTGTTAGGATAGAAACAAGTTGCCAACTAGCCAGTACACTTATATACCAACTGACACTGTTACTAAGACATCCAAGCATAAGTATTAGCACAAAGAAACAGATTATAAACAGCATATTCAAACCAACACTGTGCTACCAGTGCCAGATTTAGACATTATCAAAGGCTTATCTGTGTAAAATTAACACCTCATAGTAATGAGATGCCTGAGAAAAGCCCTTAACTTAACCATCTGAGAAAAAGATAAAGATTATATTATGAGATGGACTGTCAAAACAACACATTCAGCAAATTCATTGAGAAACAGAAGGTCATGGTTTGGTCATCTAGCAACCAGAGCAACAATTAGAGCAGGTGCTACTCATATATGTGATGATGTGAAAGCAAGAAGTCACCTTTGGAGAATAAGTATTGATGACATTCAAGAGCTTCTACATCCACATGGGCTGACAGTAGCCATTGCTGCCCATCTTTAACAAAATATATATACTTGTTTAGGGATTAGAAATTGTTTACATGCTCTGTTGCCTTTAGTTTACACCACCCTTCTGCCATTTTGTAAAGGAAAAATAATGTGCGCCAAGTGTATGACAATTGATGGGCCTGAAAGAATTATATTTTTCAACTTTTAAGGTCATTTAAGATTATTTTTGTTGGACCTGGATACAGAAAATTTTTTAGGAAGTAAAGACAACTGACTGTGCTTTCCACACATGATCAGTCTTGTGATAATTGTTTTTAAAAATATGGCACCATATACATAATGGTGTGAAAAAAGGGTCCCTTTTCTATACCAGTCAAGGTCAGGAAAAAAATTATTGTGACTGACTCAACATTTTCAATTGCTTGTTAACATTTTGTGTGTGTGAATCTGTTGTTCATAAATGTTCGATTATAATTTAATTTATCTCAGTTTGATGTGCATAAATAAATACTAGATAACCTGGCACTTAGAACAAAAACAGTCAGTGTGTTTATATTTCAGCTTGATATAGCCATGAATGGACTTTTAGCTTCCTACGCAAATTGGGACACAACACAGTATTTACTGTTATTTTGCAATTCTTTAAGGAAAATAGGTTCCATCCCAATAATTCACATCAAACATTAGAAATCTACAGGTGACTGGACAGTAATATTTCAGGGGATGGTAGATGAAGCGTAAAGTTAGTAATTTGGCATTTCATTTGCCGTGCAGTTTTGTGCTGTGCAGTTTTCAGTTTTGTGAGCTTCTTATGCTCTTTTTTGTGTACATTTTTCTGTGTGTTGCAGTCAGAGTAAATTCACACTGAGAGGTCAGTTGTGCACTAAATATAAAAAAAGCCCTCCTGTTCTTTAAGAGTTAACTTGTAACCACAATCTGAACATTTTACAAATGTGAATATTTGTCTTGGCTTGCAGGCAAGGACTTGGCTTATGAGTTATGTGACATTCTGCGGACCGAAAGTGCCCTTGACATCATTGTTAGCAATCTGGCCTCTACTAACAGAGAGTTGATGAAGGTCTCAGCAAGACTTCTGGAGCAGTCATTGACTACCTCAAACAGGTTTGTCTGTTTTGCACTCAGAATCTTAGCAAACATTCTGCTTTATGAAACATGAGGCCATCTTGATTGCATAACTGTAGTGAAACATATTTCAGTGTTGAAAAACCATTTGCCCTTGAAAGGTGAACATGCAAACACAGAAAGGCTGAGTGCTTATTGGCAATATGTTTTGTGAACTTTATTCTCATGACAGTGTTAACGCATGTATCATGCTTTTATTAATATTGCCATTATTTGATTACCAGTATTTGTCATTTAGACAAACACCATACAGATTAGTCTATAACCGTTTGTTAAGTTACACTGGTAAAATTCATTCATTATAGTTCAGTTGAAAAGAAAAATGAAAAAGTGTTTTAAAAGGTGTATCATTATGTAGATTATAATCAATAATAAAATAAGAAGAGAGAGAGAGAGAGAGAGAGAGAGAGAGAGAGAGAGAGAGAGAGAGAGAGAGAGAGAGAGAGAGAGAGAGAGAGAGAGAGAGAGAGAGAGAAAGAGTATAAAGTCTGAAATCTTTACAAATAATAGCATAGGAAACATCAACACCTAGTTACTGGGAATAAACCTTCTAGTACACAGGTATTCATTATTCATCAGCAGATATCAATCAGTCTGAACGATGGTTAGATTATTTGAATGTTCTTGTTGATGTATTCTTGAAGATATACTAATTGTATTAGATGTGATATTTCTATACCTGTTGGTAATTTACCTTTTTGCTTTCAGACGTCAAGTGGCTGAGAATGGTCTGGAACTTGTTGTTAAGATGGCCCATGATGCTCGAGGTGACTGTGAACTTGCACAGATTTGCACTGGGATACTAGAGAGTCTTTTCAAAACCTCTGAAGATACATGCTCTCGAGTAATCAAGCTCGGGGGCCTTGATACAATAACTTACTGGTGTCGATGCAATGACAGGGTCACATTAAAGAATTGTGCAATTGCTCTGTCTAATTTAGCCCTCTATGGAGGAGGAGAAAATCAGCAGGAAATGGCCAAACACAAGGTTCCAGAATGGTTATTTCCCCTTGCATTTGTTGATGATGATAGTGTTCGCTACTATGCTCTCCTAGCTATAGGTGTGTTGGTCTCCAATAAAGAAATAGAGAATGCTGTGACTAGCTCTGGAACTCTGGCATTAGTCCTTCCATTTATTGACTCTCATGATCCGGCTGAGTTTGCTGAACGAGACACATCACACCGTCATGGCCGATCCCCTGGATGGTTGAAAAGGTTGATTCCAGTTTTGTCCAGCAAGAGAGAGGAGGCTCAAGCCTTAGCAGCATTTCATTTTGTCATGGAAGCAGGCATTAAGTCTGAGCAAGGCAGGAAAGAGGTAAGAATCAATCGGATACACCAGTAGATTGTTATGTTTGCTATTGTATATTGGGTAAACAAGAGACCGTCAGTTACAAACAGGATAAGCCAGGGAAGTGAAAACAAAATAGATTTTACATATGATTTTACATATGATGTCACTACCTGAAGGTCACAAGGGGATTAGATAAAAGGTATAATTTATTTGTAGCTTGCTGTATTTTCCCAAACTAATTGCAGTATTGACCTGGATTCACTGAATGCTATGATGTTGAATATTTACCTAGAGGGAGTTAAATAACAAATACACAAAGATATCAGAACATCAGATTGGCCACAGTAATTATGTCTTCCTCTTTTTCAATCTTCTTTCAAGATGATCGTTTCTTGGCTAGTTTTACACATTTCTAGCTAAGAGGTCAGAGGTCAGTGTGTTAGACTTCATCATGAAGTTTTATAGGGTTTACTTTGTGTAGCCAGATTGTGTAAACAGAACAGTTAGTTTTGTATCATTTCTCTAACATGTTATGTAAAATTTTCATTAAAAGATTATTTAATCAAATAAAACAGCTGTGACATTAAGTTGCTGTATGACCATTCCTGGGTGATGGGTGCTGTATCTTTACCTACTGGCCTAGGGATCAGGTGTTTGAATCAGCAGAGATTTGTTTAAGTCGACACATTTTAAACATTGACTAGAAATGAGGTCTTGTCAAGCAGTTTTTGGTGTCTCATACAGAGACTGCATCTTACATACAAAGTTTACCTTATCTTACCTTAGTCTAAGCTTAGTCAAGGTTTCAACATTACCGCAGTCAGGTTCCCCCAAACTTTCTCCGTTCCTGTGCCAGTGCAAATCAAATGAAATGTCCCTCGCTGTCAAATTTTTAAAAACTAGTCCCAGAACAATCCAGAAATATAAGTAACAAGTAAAAGTAAAGGACCCTTTTCCGCACTTTTAGGTGTATAGGGCATATAGGGCTAGACCTATATTTTTATAGACCAACGGCACAAGATGGGTGATGTGGTCAGCATCACGCCGGCTGCCTCTTCTTTCCGGGACTGCACCCGGTACCCACTCAAGGCTGGGTCGACCTGGGAGCCAAGGTCATTTTTGAAGAAAAGTCCGGCTCTGCCAGGGAGCGAACCCACGACCTTCCGATCTGCGGCGCGCATCTAGCCACTCTGCCACGGCAACTCTTCCAGAAATATATGCACGCAGTAAATGCATATTTCAGTTGTTAGAGATGATAATACCAACAATCGCCACCAGAATTGCAGTATGTCATTGATAGAAGTAATCAGGCACGATAAGTTGGTTGCTGTACACACATAGAGTTATTACATAAGGTATTTTACCAATCATACGTAAACCAGCTACTGGCCATATTCAATGCCACGACACACCCGCTGCACAAATGAAAGGCGTTTAACAGGAAAACAGCTCACAGTGCTGCACCAAGCACTAAACTCAGTAGCTCAGGCAGCCAAACTGTAGACTACATTCCTTATGTGGACACTGCAATAGCAAAGCGCTGTCGGAAGCAGAAATAACTTCAAAGCTTAAAATTCTGCCAAGCCTTTCCTCCATTCTGGCTAGGAAGTCTTAACTTATCATTACCCAGGACATTGGCAACTAAGAACTTCTTTTAACAGCCGTGAAAAGGTTGTGAAAAGTGAAAAGTGAAAATCAGATGGTGTGTCTTCTTAGAGAGAATACTTTGTGAAGCTAGACAGTGCAAGGCGTACACTAACAGATCAGAGGGAAATCTAGCATGGGGTAGACCAGGAACAAGAACATCTGAGAAACATGATGTGTCTGTGGCTGAGCCAACCAGAATAGCAAACAAGAACATCTGAGAAACATGATGTGTCTGTGGCTGAGCCAACCAGAATAGCAAACAAGAACATCTGAGAAACATGATGTGTCTGTGGCTGAGCCAACCAGAATAGCAAACAAGAACATCTGAGAAACATCTGAGAAACAATAACATGATGTGTGTCTGTGGCTGAGCCAACCAGAATAGCAAACAATAACATCTGAGAAACATGATGTGTCTGTGGCTGAGCCAACCAGAATAGCAAACAATAACATCTGAGAAACATGATGTGTCTGTGGCTGAGCCAATCAGAATAGCAAACAATAACATCTGAGAAACATGATGTGTCTGTGGCTGAGCCAACCAGAATAGCAAACAATAACATCTGAGAAACATGATGTGTCTGTGGCTGAGCCAACCAGAATAGCAAACATCTGAAAACATGATGTGTCTGTGGCTGAGCCAACATCTGAGAAAAACATGATGTGTCTGTGGCTGAGCCAACCAGAATAGCAAAAGAGAACATCTGAGAAAATAGCAAACAAGATGTGTGATGTGTGGCTGAGCCAACCAGAATAGCAAACAAGAACATCTGAGAAACATGATGTGTCTGTGGCTGAGCCAACCAGAATAGCAAAACAGAACTTGGCACCTTCCTCAGCACCTGAAGCAGGAAATTAGGAAATAAAGAGAAAGAAGAAGCAAGGATGGAAAATGCAAAAACATCTACTGGCTTCTCCAAAACAATACTGCAGAGCTCAGTAGAGGGAAAAGGTGTAGCGGCAACCATGGATGCAGAACTTGTGTGACTGGATACTCCTGATGCAGGCATCATGTCCGTTGTGTCTGATTGACAGAGCTGAAAGGAACGTGATCAGACGGTCAGCAATAACATGCGGTGTTAGTTAGTTATTCCACAGATTATCCTTGTTGCACAATGGACGAGTCCATAAGCGCTTGGATCTCATCTTCAGTATGTTCCTCAGTGTGTGGTGACTGATAATACCAGTCCTGTGTTAGTTTACTATTCTTCTTTGGCTACCTGTATAGTGTTCATGTCTGGCGTAAAAATTTTCACCTGAAGTTCTTATAATTTTTTAAATGTATGCTATGTCACTATCATCTCCTGAATTATCTACTTGTCCTGCCTCATTGAGATCATTGAGAATATCAGCCCAGTCCATGGCTTGTCCTGCCTCATTGAAATCATTGAGAATATCAGCCCAGTCCATTGCTAGTCCTGCCTCATTGAGATCATTGAGAATATCGGTCCGTGCATGGCTTGTCCTGCCTCATTGAGATCATTGAAAATATCGGCCCGTGCATGGCTTGTCCTGCCTCATTGAGATCATTGAGAATATCAGCCTAGTCCATGGCTTGTCCTGCCTCATTGAGATCATTGAGAATATCAGCCTAGTCCATTGCTTGTCCTGCCTCATTGAGATCATTGAGAATATCGGTCCGTGCATGGCTTGTCCTGCCTCATTGAGATCATTGAGAATATCGGCCTAGTCCATGGCTTGTCCTGCCTCATTGAGATCATTGAGAATATCAGCCTAGTCCATGGCTTGTCCTGCCTCTTTGAGATCATTGAGAATATCAGCCTAGTCCATGGCTTGTCCTGCCTCTTTGAGATCATTGAGAATATCGGTCCGTGCATGGCTTGTCCTGCCTCATTGAGATCATTGAGAATATCGGCCCGTGCATGGCTTGTCCTGCCTCATTGAGATCATTGAGAATATCGGCCTAGTCCATTGCTTGTCCTTACATAACATGGCCCTGCCAGCAAGCCAGTCTGCTCATTCATTCCCTCTTACTCCAGAGTGCCCTGGCACAAAAATTAATCTTATTCCTGTCAGATGAGATTTTCTCAGCAACTCCAACCATTTTCTTTAATCCATCCTATCTCAGTCTTCTTAAGCATGCTCATGGAATCACTTAGAAAGCATATATGCAAAACATTAGGTCTCTAGTTACATCATTGTTTTTGTTACCACCATCACCTCCATGAGCAGATTACTTGTAGTCGAGGCAAAAAGAACCGCTGTGTTATTTCACAGTCCTCCCTCGAACCAGAACTGTGAAAGTCATTCAGTTCTGTATGCATCAAACAACGGATCCATTGATGTCAATAACTGCACTTCCATCAGCAGAATTTTCCAGAATTAAGGCTTGAACTTCTGCTTCAACCACCAATCAGCTTTTTTGTCTGCATTCTCTATCCTCTTTTGTGCGGACTGAAAAGGATGTGCAGCACTCTGCTAGTACTCGTACTTATGCTAATAGACGATGTGTATCGGCACTGATACGTAGATACACATATGCTAGGCATCACTGCTCTCACCTTCATGGTTGGAGAATCAAGAAAGTAATCTATCACTCTGCATGATGTATTCTTTTTCATATAGGTATGATGAACTTGGCCTCATTCTATATCCAGTCTTGTCTCTCTGTCAATGTATGCCTTAGAGTCAGAATCGCCAGAGTATACTCAGTTACAGAGAGGAACAGACCCCAATTTAAAAACAAAAGGAGGTGACACTGCTAGCAGTTTGTTGCAGCCATTATCCTTAAAGCTGTCAAACCTTCCTTTGCCTTGATTATCACATGGTTTACGTGCTCATAAAAAGTAAGGCTATGATTAAAACATACTCCTGCATGCTTTATTGTATAGTTCTCTCCATGATCTCGGAACACAGACTTACAGTTGGTGTTAATGTGTTTATAATATGGTCATTCAGTGAAAACCGTGTCAGCATTGACTTCGACACCCAGATGACCCCTCCTGTTTGAGCGCATCACCTGCTTATATTATCAGGTTCTGTCTGAAGGCCCTCAGCAACCAGCTCCTAGTCTCTGCCTTGAGGATGCACCAAAACATCATCCATCGGCGTAGAACAGTGTCCTTACCTGCCTCATGATCTGCTATCCTGTGACATGCAGTGTTATGGAATTACAATTTACTGGCAGGCAAATAAAAGGTTTGCCAAATATTGATGAGATTCCCACTGAGTGCCTAAAAATATAAGCCTAGCACAACATTCCCCTGATGCCTAATAGCAGGAAAATAGGTCCTTTATTTTACTTTAAGCCTCCATTAAAAGATTCTGGGAAATTTCAAATTCTAAGAACTCGATGTCTCCCAGTACAGGTCTACAGGTTATCACTTTTAGCACTGACCTTTCTCTCTGGTGGAATTCTCAGTGCGTGAAGTCCCATATGATCTTGTAATGTTATGGTATGTTATCACAGTCAGCATCACTGCACATTGAGCATCCCATACATGCTCGGTGCTGTTATGTACAGCTATAAGGTACCTTGACCCATGCTTCACAGACCCATCTCTGTAAATGATGATGTTGCTTGGGCGTAAATGCTGATCAGTCAGTGCCATCATCTTGGTGTCTGTGACTGCAGGCTGATCAGTCAGTGCCATCATCTTGGTGTCTGTGACTGCAGGCTGATCAGTCAGTGCCCTCATCTTGGTGTCTGTGACGGCAGGCTAATTAGTCAGTGCCCTCATCTTGGTGTCTGTGACTGCAGGCTGATCAGTCAGTGCCCTCATCTTAGTGTCTATGACTGCAGGCTGATCAGTCAGTGCCCTCATCTTGGTGTCTATGACTGCAGGCTGATCAGTCAGTGCCCTCATCTTGGTGTCTATGACTGCAGGCTGATCAGTCAGTGCCCTCATCTTGGTGTCTGTGGAACGTGTCTATAACTGCAGGCTGATCAGTCAGTGCCCTGCCCTCATCTTAGTCAGTCTCATGATGACTGCAGGCTGAGTCAGTCCCTCAGTGTCCTGACTTGCAGCTGATCAGTCAGTGCCCTCATCTTAGTGTCTATGACTGCAGGCTGATCAGTCAGTACCCTCATCTTGGTGTCTATGACTGTCGCTGATCAGTCAGTGCCCTCATCTTGGTGTCTGTGACTGCAGGTATCTGAATTCTGCAGCACATCCCCAGTGTTATAACAACCTTAGACAGCTCATGCTGTGATAGAAACAACTAAGCTGTGATAGAAACAACTAAGCTGTGATAGAAACAACTAAGCCGTGATAGAAACAACTAAGCCGTGATAGAAACAACTAAGCACTGATAGAAACAACTAAGCCCTGATAGAAACAACTAAGCTGTGATAGAAACAACTAAGCACTGATAGAAACAACTAAGCTGTGATAGAAACAACTAAGCACTGATAGAAACAACTAAGCTCTGATAGAAACAACTAAGCTGTGATAGAAACAACTAAGCACTGATAGAAACAACTAAGCTGTGATAGAAACAACTAAGCCCTGATAGAAACAACTAAGCACTGATAGAAACAACTAAGCACTGATAGAAACAACTAAGCACTGATAGAAACAACTAAGCACTGATAGAAACAACTAAGCACTGATAGAAACAACTAAGCACTGATAGAAACAACTAAGCTCTAATAGAAACAACTAAGCTCTGATAGAAACAACTAAGCACTGATAGAAACAACTAAGCACTGGTAGAAATAACTAAGCTGTGATAGAAACAACTAAGCCCTGATAGAAACAACTAAACACTGATAGAAACAACTAAGCACTGATAGAAACAACTAAGCACTGATAGAAACAACTAAGCTGTGATAGAAACAACTAAGCACTGATAGAAACAACTAAGCACTGATAGAAACAACTAAGCACTGATAGAAACAACTAAGCACTGAAAGAAACAAGTAAACATCTTTTTGAAACAAGTAAAGATTGCCCTGATGTGCTTCCACTGTGATATGACTGGTTTGTTCCACTTTGTAATTGATGGGTGATATGACTGGTTTGTTCCACTGTGTACTTGATGGGTGATATTACTGGTTTGTTCCACTGTGTACTTGACAGATGATATGACTGGTTTGTTCCACTGTGTACTTGACAGATGATATGACTGGTTTGTTCCACTGTGTACTTGACAGATGATATTACTGGTTTGTTCCACTGTGTACTTGACAGATGATATTACTGGTTTGTTCCACTGTGTACTTGACAGATGATATGACTGGTTTGTTCCACTGTGTACTTGACAGATGATATGACTGGTTTGTTCCACTGTGTACTTGACAGATGATATTACTGATTTGTTCCACTGTGTACTTGACAGATGATATGACTGGTTTGTTCCACTGTGTACTTGATGGGTGATATTACTGGTTTGTTCCACTGTGTACTTGATAGGTGATATGACTGGTTTGTTCTACTTGATGGGTGATATGACTGGTTTGTTCCACTGTGTACTTGATGGGTGATATGACTGGTTTGTTCCACTGTGTACTTGACAGATGATATGACTGGTTTGTTCCACTGTGTACTTGATGGGTGATATTACTGGTTTGTTCCACTGTGTACTTGATGGGTGATATGACTGGTTTGTTCCACTGTGTACTTGATGGGTGATATGACTGGTTTGTTCCACTGTGTACTTGACGGGTGATATGACTGGTTTGTTCCATTGTGTACTTGACGGTTTATATGACTGGTTTGTTCCACTGTTTTTGCTTTTATAGATCCTGTACAAAATTGGAGCAGTGGACCCTCTGAAATGGTTGGCCAGTACTCCCAATCGAGTGGCATCCAAACTGGCAGCCCAGGCTCTGAAGATTATTGGTGAAGAAGTGCCTCATAAGCTCTCACAACAAGTTCCCTTATGGGCATGTGATGATGTGGTTCATTGGATTGGCCAGGTAAGGATGCCCACAGATCCAGGATATCAGCTTCATTTTCTTGAAATAAATTTACCTGGTTTTCTGTCATATTTCAAGTCTGGGGGGGGGGGGGGGGGGCGGGGCAGTTCACTGCATTTGCTTCCTATTAAAAAATGAATAAAGACACCAAGTAAAGGGCAAAATACTGGGACAATCAAGAAAGGGGCAGATATAGAACAACATTACAGAACAAACATACACAGTCTCTCAAAACAGACATAAATGGAATTAAACAGATTAGCCCAAGACAAACTATGGAATTAAATTATCAAGCCACATCAAAGTCAGCCCAAGTGCTTAAATACTTAATAAAGATTTATGGTATTTCCAGACAATTAAATTGATAAATTTTTTCTCATTAATGACATCTGGGTGTTGTAAGATTCTTCTTCATCTTTTATGCATTAATTCATTCTTAACTGCTGTTGCTGCTGCTTGTTTGTTTCAGCAGTGTGTTATTTTCTGCTAATTTAGCTCTTTGCTTAGCCAGTCTGTTATGTTTCATTTAATCTGATGCACTCGTAAATGAAGAAATATCATGAACACAGAGCAATTGGAAGACCATCCAAGAGATGGAGCAACATCATCAGCAGCAACCTAACAGAAATGAACACCAACTTGCACAATGAGTTGGAAAAAGCACACAATCAATCCTTACATCTTCCCCCAACACCTCGACGAAGTAAATGGTGCAAGAGAAGAAGAAGAAAATGTCTGTCTGAATCTGTGCCTAATGTCTGCCTGTATTTGTGCCTAATGACTATCTGTATCTGTGCCTAATGCCTGTCTGTATCTGTGCCTAATGTCTGTCTGTATCTGTGCTTAAGTCTGTCTGTATCTGTGCCTAATGTCTGTCTGTATCTGTGCCAAATGCCTGTCTGTATCTGTGCCTAATGTCTGTCTGTATCTGTGCCTAATGTCTGTCTGTATCTGTGCCTAATGTCTGTCTGTATCTGTGCCTAATGTCTGTCTGTATCTGTGCCTAATGTCTGTCTGTATCTGTATCTGTGCCTAATGTCTGTATCTGTATCTGTGCCTAATGTCTGTATCTGTGCCTAATGTCTGTCTGTATCTGTGCCTAATGTCTGTATCTGTGCCTAATGTCTGCCTTTATTTGTGCCTAATGTCTGTCTGTATCTGTGCCTAATGTCTGCCTGTATCTGTGCCTAATGTCTGTATCTGTGCCTAATGTCTGCCTGTATCTGTGCCTAATGTCTGTCTGTATCTGTGCCTAATGTCTGTCTCTCCACATGGCTATTCATCTGTCCGGTCTCTATATTATCCTTCCACTCATCCGGTTATCCACTTATCTTACTACCCCTATTTGGATAGCTTGTTATTTGCATGTTTTAAAATCAAGTTTTCATCCTGAACCACAGTTTTCACCTGGTTGGCCTTGAGTTTGTATTGTTTATTATACATTTTTAATAGAATCAATCCAACACTCTTTATCTTCTTGATAGAATCAGTCCATCACAGTTGGTCTTCTTAATAGAATCAGTTCATCACACTTGGTCCTCTTGATAGAATCCATCGATCACACTTGGTCCTCTTGATAGAATCCATCCATCACACTTGGTCCTCTTGATGAATCAGTCCATCACACTTGGTCCTCTTGATTAATCAGTCCATCACACTTGGTCCTCTTGATGAATCAGTCCATCACACTTGGTCCTCTTGATGAATCAGTCCATCACACTTGGTCTTCTTGATAGAATCAGTCTATCACACTTGGTCCTCTTGATGAATCATACCATCACACTTGGTCCTCTTGATAGAATCAGTCCATCACACTTGGTCCTCTTGAAAGAATCAATCACACTTGGTCCTCTTGATAGAATCCATCCATCACATTTGGTCCTCTTGATGAATCAGTCCATCACACTTGGTCTTCTTGATAGAATCAATCACACTTGGTCCTCTTGATAGAATCAATCACACTTGGTCCTCTTGATAGAATCAATCACACTTGGTCTTTTTGATAGAATCAGTCCATCACTCTTGGTCTTCTTTATGAATCAATCCATCACACTTGGTCCTCTTGATAGAATCAGTCTATCACACTTGGTCTTCTTGATAGAATCAGTCTATCACACTTGGTCCTCTTGATAGAATCAGTCTATCACACTTGGTCTTCTTGATAGAATCAGTCCATCACACTTGGTCTTCTTGATAGAATCAGTCCATCACACTTGGTCCTCTTGATAGAATCAGTCTATCACACTTGGTCTTCTTGATAGAATCAGTCTATCACACTTAGTCTTCTTGATAGAATCAGTCTATCACACTTGGTCTTCTTGATAGAATCAGTCTATCACACTTAGTCTTCTTGATAGAATCAATCACACTTGGTCCTCTTGATAGAAACAATCACACTTGGTCTTTTTGATAGAATCAATCACACTTGGTCCTCTTGATAGAATCAATCACACTTGGTCCTCTTGATAGAACCAATCACACTTGGTCTTTTTGATAGAATCAGTCCAGCACACTTGGTCTTCTTGATAGAATCAGTCTATCACATTTGGTCTTCTTGATAGAATCAATCACACTTGGTCCTCTTGATAGAATCAATCACACTTGGTCCTCTTGATAGAATCAATCACACTTGGTCTTTTTGATAGAATCAATCACACTTGGTCCTCTTGATAGAATCAATCACACTTGGTCCTCTTGATAGAATCAATCACACTTGGTCTTTTTGATAGAATCAGTCCAGCACACTTGGTCTTCTTGATAGAATCAACCCATCACACTTGGTCCTCTTGATAGAATCCATTCATCACATTTGGTCCTCTTGATGAATCAGTCCATCACACTTGGTCCTCTTGATAGAATCCATCCATCACATTTGGTCCTCTTGATGAATCAGTCAATCACACTTGGTCTTCTTGATAGAATCAATCCATCACACTTGGTCCTCTTGATAGAATCAATCACACTTGGTCTTCTTGATAGAATCAGTCTATCACACTTGGTCTTCTTGATAGAATCAATCACACTTGGTCCTCTTGATAGAATCAGTCTATCACACTTGGTCTTCTTCTAGCTCAATAGTTAGAGCTTCACTAAGTTAAGGCACAAAGCATCCAGATGTCATTACTTATTGTTTGTTTATAAACTCAGTACATAACGTATTGTCTGTAAACTCAGTACATTACTTATTGTTTGTCTATAAACTCAGTACATAACGTATTGTCTGTAAACTCAGTACATTACTTATTGTTTGTCTGTGAACTTAGTACATTACTTATTGTCTGTCTGTAAACTCAGTAATTTAAAGTATCTATGACATTTATAATGTCCTCATTTATAGTTTTTTTTTTTTATAGTGAAGCTGACAGATTTTCACAAGCATTTTATTTCATGTGCAATGAGATTTCTCTCTAGCAATATAGATAGTGTCCAAGTTTGGAACTAGTGACAGAGCTTAGTGGAAACATGGTGTTTGTCGTGTGTTGCTTCACTTCTTCTGATCTTTAAAAATGAATGGTGAACAGTGCTTCACTTTTGTACTGATATATGGATAGATAATAAATATAATAATGTTGCATCAATATTCTTGTTTGATAAAATTTGTATTCAAGATGCCTTAATGCTGAAAGCCATTTTTTAATTGATGATATAATTCCAGGTAATTTCCCAAGTATACACAAGTTTGTGATTCTTTAGACAACAGAAGGTGGTAATTAGTGTATCTGTTATGGTTAACGTAATTATATCTTATCACCAATTTGAATGGAGTACATTGACCCTGTCTGGATTGCCACAGAGGATGTGAACTCCTTGGGTCACAAGGGCCGTGAAACCTTCAAGTAGCAGCCTAGAGAGAAAAAAATCACTCAGTCACTTTATTATGTCCTCATTATTGTAAGGTAATTACGTTTCATTCTTGTTTTGTGATCTGGTTTCATCTGTGAGGCTGACTGTTTTAACTTGTTATAAAAGTCACCAGCTTCAATAGAGAACTTGCATGTCTGTTGTAGGTGGGCTTTGGCAAGTACGCAGACAAGTTTCAGGCATGCCATGTTGATGGTGACCTCCTACTTCGTCTGACAGAGGAGGAACTCAGGGACAGTTTGGGCATGATCTGCGCCATCACCAGAAAGAGGTCAGTCTTATTTCCTTCATTTATTTAGCATCTGAGCTAGCTGCACATGTGATGCAATAATAACAAATTTAAAAAAAAAAAACATTAAAAAAAACATCACTGATACAAACAGATATCTCATACTCACTATGTACCTGACATCAGGGTTGTTCAAATCAGTTTACTCAGGGGCCAAAATGTTGAAGTTAGGGATCATCACAGGACAGAGGCCAGAGCCCCAGCATAGAACAATCATTAATACAATACAACTGGCAATGATCTGTGGGCCACTTACTAGGCCTCTGTGGGCCACCAGTTGAAAAGCCCTGCCCTGTCAGCCAGATCTTTCATTCCGATGAACAGAGCCCTTGGTAAACACTACTGCATCATCTAGCCAAGCATTTTCTTGTATCAGTTGTTGTACCTCTAATTCTGCGATACCATTACACCAATCTCTACATTGTCTTACTAATGTGATAACTACCTGATAGAAACTGCTGTTGTCTGTGTTTCTGTCGACTCATTCCTGCGACACTGTGTATTTGTTCAGTTGAAGCCGCCAGCTCAGTAGTATCTTTGGCTAGTGCCATCCATGACTAGTGCCATCCATGACTAGTGCCATCCATGACTAGTGCCATCCATGACTTGTGCCTTCCATGACTAGTGCCATCCATGACTAGTGCCATCCATGACTAGTGCCATCCATGACTAGTGCCATCCATGACTAGTGCCATCCATGACTAGTGCCATCCATGACTAGTGCCATCCATGACTCTCCTCTTTGCAACAGGTCTACTCTTTAACCCACTGACTGCACATTATGTGATCGGCCAACATATATGTCTGGCTACCATGATTAAAACCTTTGACAGGAACTTTGTACTTTCACCGCTTTGTTAAAATTGTGATTTTTATGATAAATGTATTTGAAGTCATTAGTCCATTTATTTTTCCTAAGTAAATCCCACTATATGTAGCCACTAATGACACCACATGTAGCCACTAATGGCACCATATGCAGCCACTAATGGCACCACATGTAGCCACTAATGGCACCACATGCAGCCACTAATGGCACCACATGTAGCCACTAATGGCACCACATGTAGCCACTAATGACACCACATGTAGCCACTAATGGCACCACATGTAGCCACTAATGGCACCACATGCAGCCACTAATGGCACCACATGTAGCCACTAATGGCATTACATGTAGCCACTAATGACACCACATGTAGCCACTAATAGCACCACATGTAGCCACTAATGGCACCACATGCAGCCACTAATGGCACCACATGTAGCCACTAATGGCACCACATGTAGCCACTAATGACACCACATGTAGCCACTAATGGCACCACATGTAGCCACTAATGACACCAGTCCTGTGTTGATTTCTCATTCTTTTTTTTTTTTTTTTTGTGGCTTCCTGTATAGTGCTCTTGTCTGGCCCCCACCTCTTTTAATCTGCTGTTCTTGCAGCCTGGTCATGGTTGCAGATTCTGTCATCACTTGGTTCTCTCAAACGTCCTACTTCTTGTACAGCTTGATCCATGGCACGCCAGCACTCTACAGTAGCTTTACCTGCGAGCCAATGACATGTGTGACTAGCAGTACCAGCTTATGTTGAGAAGAAACACACAAAAGCTGCATGAGATCTCAGGACCAATGCTAGCATCACATGTGCTTCACATCTTTCTTCTTAGACACTCAGCTCTCAACCTGTCTGCATTCCATTTATAATTTGTCTGTTCCCATCCTAATTTCCCCCCTCCATGCAGTATGATTCATGGCATCCTATTCCCATGACTCTACCTCAATGCCTGTCTCATTCATGTTGATTTGATTTGATTTAATTTGATTCAAGAACCGACATCACAGCACTCGGAGCATTCCCATAAGCGCTTCGTCCCCATCTTCAGCAGCCAGCGAAGGGTTTCGATACTAATGGTGTCAGTAGCATTCTGATTAAACGTCCGTCTTGCCTTTCCTGTGAGCCTTGAGCATCTGCCAGAACTTCTCGTCACCCCCAACTGCATCAATCTTACCAGACTGGTGATCCATCTGCTCCTCCGAATTGTACACGCTCTCCCACAGGGCACTAACCACGTCTGCCTTATCATGTATCAATATTCCACCAAGTTGTGCAGAGCCAGCCAGTCTGTCCGCCTGTTCATTTCCCAACACACCGACATAAACCGACAAAAAAATCTAGATAATACTCCTCACCCATGTCATCCGCAGGGAGGCATGCCACTCTGCACAAAGCATGCCTGTCCTGATCTTTATCAGCATTCTTTCTGAGTTACAATCATGATGTGTGTGTGTGTTGTGTTCTCTAACCAGCGAAAAGCTGCAGTGACCGGCTTCACCTTCAATCCTTATGTTGTGGTATCATATGCTAGACTCTTCTGCACCAAATGTCGACCATTAACTTTAGCTAAGAAACACCAAGCACTTCTTTTGCCTCTTGACACTGAACCGTCTGGGTAAATGACCAAATCCTCTGAGCGAGCATTATCTTGAAGTAATTGCTGAATTTCCACTTCTGTGGCACCTGCTGGCCAGTCTCTGCATTTCCGTCCCAGTGTGATTATGACCCTACACAAGTCTGACTGTTCAGCTGGCACTTTGACCCACTCCTCTCCTCGCCTAATGTTCTCAAGGATGCATAACTGCCTGATTGTGTCTTCTGTCTGAGCCATCAATGACTTCCCTCTTATCAGCCGCTGACCTTTAACTGCACCCAGAGCTTCATGCAAAGGGTGGTCTGTGTCTGCAGCTACCCTGAGATATGACTTCGCCTGCATCACCTTGTGCCTACCTGCAACCGTCGGCAAACCAAGGATGTATCGTATACACACCACTGGAGTGTCTCTTGTGCAACCCAGAATTACCTGCATAGCTGTATTCTGTATGCGCTCTAGTTTGTCCATCTGACTCTTTGAGACGGTAAGCAGTCTCAGGCCATAATCCACCACTGACAGGATCAGGTGCTGATATAGTGTGAAAAGCATTCTCTGCTCTGTGTCAATTGCAGCCATAGTCTTAAGTGCACAAAGTCCTTTTTGGCATCTTATCACACTCTCCACATGGTCCTTTAAGGACAGGCTCTTGTCAAATGTAATTCCCAGATACTTCAGTTTGCTCTTTCTGTTGACGTCTCTACCATCTCTCGTGAGACTTGGAACATAAGCTTTAACGATTCTGTTGTCCAGAGAACACCACAAAACAGACGCCTTTTCCGAGTGGATGACAGCCCTCATTTCTGTCACTCAGTCACTTTGTCTACTGTCGCTTGTAGGTCCCAGGCTGTTTGATCCCTCTCTTACCCCTGCCTATATGCAAGTATATCATCCGCAAAAGTCAGTATCCTTCCAACTCCTGGTGCTTCTAGGCATGCAATCTTGCTCGTATACACGTTAAAGAGCACAGGTGAGATGTCAAATCCGTGACGCAGTCCTGGGGCCAAACTGCATGGTTCTGAGGTCCATGAGCCCACTCGGAGAGCAACCCGACGTGAATACAGGACAGGTGCAACCCAATTCACCAGCCATGGACTGACCTTCTTCTCCTTCAGTGCAGTCATCAAGATGTCATATCTTACTCTTTCCATACACTAGTGGAAAGGAGCTGGTGGTAGGAAAATATCTATGCCCACCTTTATTTGCAAAAAAATATCATAGTTCTCTCTGTTGGCTGAGTCGGCCTCAGTAAATCTTTCTAAAGTTCCTTCCTCTGCTAGATTCAGACACTGACCACTGGGCCAGCAGGCAAGCTTGCTAGCCGCAATAGCTCCCTAAAATGTTGATAACTACAGATACAATTACAGATAATTTCTCGTTTCTTGTCATATTGCCAGATTTCTGCGAGAACTGAGGGATCTGAAGATTTCATCCGATTATACGTCCTGCGACCCCAGCATGCTAGGTGCATGGCTACAAGAAGTTGGGGAAGATATGTCACAGTACACTTACCAAATGCTGCACCAGGGTGTCGACAGACCTCTTCTTCGGTCTTTATCAGATTCACTTCTTGTGAATGACTGTCAAATAGTCAACGGCATTCACAGGATGAAAATACTGAGCAAGATAGAGGGTAATCAACAGTTTTATATAGTTTTGACTTTTGTGTTATACAAAACAGATGTTCACAAATTATTTGCTGCAATATATTCATACAATCATTCAATCATTCATTGTCTTGTTGTGCCATTATATGTAACACAGGGATCACAGTCTGTTCCTCCATTGTCTTGTTGTGCCATCATATGTAATACAGGGATCACAGTCTGTTCCTCCATTGTCTTGTTGTGCCATCATATGTAACACAGGGATCACAGTCTGTTCCTCCATTGTCTTGTTGTGCCATCATATGTAACACAGGGATCACAGTCTGTTCCTCCATTGTCTTGTTGTGCCATCATATGTAACACAGGGATCACAGTCTGTTCCTCCATTGTCTTGTTGTGCCATCATATGTAACACAGGGATCACAGTCTGTTCCTCCATTCCTTTCTATTCTGTGCAGTCAAGACCAGCAATTTTGGCCTCTCTCATCAGTCGTTTGTTTTAGAGTTTATTTTGAGTGTGTCACCACCCCCCACCCCCCCCCCCCCCCCCCCAGGGGTCACTTTATTTCCCATTTAACTGCCTGTTTGGTGATTCTTTGCTGGCTTTTTCTCAGAATATGTACAACATAGCACCATCTTCTCTGTATTATAGTGTTAACTAGTGGTTGCCCACACAATAATGTTGTTTCTTCACTCCTTTAGAATTCATCCTATTTTATTTCATCATTGTCCTCAGCCATTTGTTTTTGAATGCATGTAGTTTTCTTTCCCTGTCTCTAATGATTCTCCAACTTTCACTGGCACAGGTTACAACTGAAATAACTTTAGAACTGAAAATGGATAACTTGCTTTTAGTACTATAGAATTTAAAGTTCCAATATATAAGGAGCAAACACTGTTGTCAATAGAGAACACTCAATTTTATGTCTGTTTCTGTCTGGTTAATGTGTTACACATCTAGCAACCTGTCCCAGGATGTTCAGCACAAATTGCCTGTCAGATTCCACAGGTCTGCATCTGGAAGAGGTTATTAACGACCAGATTGTTAGTCTTCCATGAGAAGATAGTCAATTTTTATGTTTCCAATCTGTGTGTAGCAATTTGGTGTTCTCAACATTTGTCAGTTATCAGTTAGGTACAGTCGTCACAGGGTAGGATAGCTGCAGTGAATCTCCCACTCTCTCTATATCTTGTCTTGGTGGCACACTCTGTTATCAATGTCTTGATGTTGTCCTCTCATTTGTGTCATTGCCTATCTCTTGCTCTTTTACTTTCAGTATTTCCCTACAGTGTGATTTTTAAAAGAGTGTTAAGGCTTTTAATGTCGCTGAAATATTTCATTTGTTTGTTTATGATTTCTTTCAGTAACTCTCTTTTCATTTCTATTTCTACATTTTCTCTTTTTTTTAATTTTTAATTTTTATGAAATACAACCTTGTCTTCCGTACACCCACATTTCCAGGGACTCTGCTGAGTTTTCCAGTTGCTTGTTCATTATCCAGGTTTTTGCCCCATCCATCAGAGTTGAGTATACATAACATTTGACTATTCTAATTTGGAAAGTGTTTGTTTATCTTTCTAGCTGTCAATGACTTCCACAACTTATTGAAAATAGTTTTAACCATTCTTATTCTCTTTTTTTTAAAATTCCTGTTTGACCTCTGCCATAATCTATTATTAGATGTCCAAGAAAGGAGAAACTTGTTACTTGTTCTAATATCTCTCTGTTTTCTGTTTTCTGTGATGTTCACTGTCGCTCCTTTCCATTATTAATTATCATAGTTTTTGTTTTTTGAATGTTAATGTCTTAGTCCTACTCTGCCCTCTGCCTGTTAATGAATGTTAATGTCTTAGTCCTACTCTGCCCTCTGCCTGTTGATGAATGTTAATGTCTTAGTCCTACTCTGCCCTCTGCCTGTTAATGAATGTTAATGTCTTAGTCCTACTCTGCCCTCTGCCTGTTGACTTGATCTACTAGATCAGTAGTCAGGACATAGTGGCTTGGTGGGTGAAGTATGATGTGATCAGTGTCAATTCGGCCGCCTTTACTTCTAGAACATTTCCATGTTCCCATTTTAGGCTGATTTGACCTGAAAGTAGAGATTTAGTCTACACAAGTCTGAAACATGCTCGGATGCTTTGACTCACTCCTCTCCTCACTCAAAATTATTAAGCCTGCACACATGTCCAATTGTGTCTTCAGCCTGCGCCATCCAAGACCTTGCTCTTTTCAGTCTGTGACCCTTAGCTCTACCCAGGGCTTCATGCAGGAGGTGCTTCTTGTCTGCAGCTACTCTGAGATATGTCTGTGCTTGCGGAACTTTGAGCCTATATGCAATAGTAGGCAGTGCAAGTATGTATCTCATACATACTACCAGGGTATCTCTTGTACATCCCAGAATTACCTGCATGGTTTCATTCTCTATGTGTTCAAGTTTCATCAGCTGATTCTTTGATATGGTAAGCATTCCATAATCTATTACAGACAGGATAACATGCTGGAACATTGTGATCTTGAGAGCATTAAGTCTTTTTTGGCATTTCACCACAACTGACTCCATGTGATCCCTAAAATAATCTTTATATATACAAACTTGTATCTCAACTCTTTTAGGTACACATTTTTTCTGGGGTTTGGACTGCATTAATTTTGAGCGGACAATTTTTTTACAGCAACATGACAAAGCTAAAACTATCCTGATGAAAAATTATTTGCTGTATGTTGCCAAATACTATGTCAAATTAAAGAGAAATGAATGCAGAATGCATGTAAACTATTTAAGGATCAGTATTTCAACAATAACATACAACAGTGACACCACATTAGAGGATGTTAGACACAGGAAATTTTCTTAGACATGTAATGTTGTTCTTACCTTGCTTTTTTACTTGTTCAGCAACATAGCTATCCATTTCTCAGAATTCACAAGCCTTCTTTATTTAGCTATCCATTTCTCAGAATTCACAAGCCTTCTTTATTTAGCTATCCATTTCTCAGAATTCACAAGCCTTCTCTATTTAGCTATCCATTTCTCAGAATTCACAAGCCTTCTCTATTTAGCTATCCATTTCTCAGAATTCACAAGCCTTCTCTATTTAGCTATCCATTTCTCAGAATTCACAAGCCTTCTCTATTTAGCTATCCATTTCTCAGAATTCACAAGCCTTCTCTATTTAGCTATCCATTTCTAAGAATTTGCAAGCCTTCTCTATTTAATTATGCATCAGCTAGTCTTTATTTAAAACAATTATTCTAAATACTTTGGATTTTATGATCATTTTTGTCTGACGCGTCAAATTTCAGAACTTACTTTACTTTACTTTTTCCTTCCACGTATGCCGCTAAGCGTTGTGGGGAGATGCAAGTTCCTGTCATAAGCAAGGCGGGCAGCATCTGATGTTCTGAGGCCATGCTTTTGGCAGGTTTCGGAGACCCCGTCAATCCACAGTTTCCTTGGTCTTCCTCTTGCCTTATATCCTGAGCTTCTTTGGTTGAAAATTTGTGATGTTATTTGGTCATTTTTCATCCTGGTTAGATGTCCAAACCATTTCATTCTTTGATGTTCTATGTAGTCTAAACATGGTGTAGTTTACAACCAAATAAAAAATAAATTTACATGATATCTGAGGGCAATTGCAGTGACGACTTATATGATGATATTGATCCTGAATACAACCACCTTGCTGGGTGTGATATGCCCTAAAACTTGCATTGGGGCACAGGTGAGGCTTGTCAGCACATCCAACACAGTCAAACCTGCTGCGTTTTCACATCTGTTTCTTGCTGCACGGTACACATTGCCTGTCTGCACCAGCATAGTCAACTAAATGTTCTGCCTCAATAAGACTGTCAGACAAGGCTGGCCTTTTGCCTAGTCTGCAAGCCACAGCAATGATCTTGTCTATCAGAACTTCATGACCTGAGAGCGCAGTTGGTTGCTGGATGAGCTCGTCTTTGAAATGTGCAAGACTCATTCACTTGGGAGCAGCATGATAGGATAACAGGTACAAAATGTGAGCATTGACCTGCTTCACTTCCACGATCCACGTGAAAATCTTTTTCCATTACTTGATAGTTTTGGGAGTGTGGTTATTATAATGCAAGACCATTTGATCCTCACGATCACAGCCATTCATACTTATATTGTATGAACGAATGAGGCTAGATGGGTAAAAATGCTGACTGAAACTTTGCTACTAGATTATTCACAGATGGCTCAATCTTTGCTTGGCCTTGTGCGTTGGGTTCTGATGCATGCAGCATTGACTGGTAAACAAGCAAGAACTTAGTTCTTGGAAACATTACCCAGAACCATGGTGTGAATTTGTGGTTCACTGTAGACCAGTAATCTTTGATATTGTGTTTCGGTGTAATTCCCATCGCTATCACTACACTGAGAAACTGAAAAATTTTTCTCTAGTCATTGGCTACCACTCAGACTTGCAATGTAGAACTTTTTCTCAATTTTTTATTTTTTTTTTTTAAATTTTTTCCACTGCAAAAAGATTTATGTTTTCAACAAGGCTGTCAATGATATCAGTTGTTAGCAGTGGGAATAAGCAATCCAGTGCTGTTGAATTTTCATCCAGTGGTGCCCGAATTCCAGACACAGCTGACTGAAACAAGGACGATGTGATCGAAACATTTTCTTCAGCTTCATCCCAAGCCATAACGTCTGCAACAGATACTGCACGTGCATTATTATTATTCATATGGTCAACACTATTGTTGTCACTATCTGGCTCAGATTCATCAACGACAGCAGCAGTATGGGCAGTTCTGTAGGCTTTGTTATTGTTCTGCTTTCCCTTACCCTTACTGTTTAGTCTGGCGTGTTTTGTAGCAGATGGCTGATATTCTTAATCGTCATCATCTACATCATTGTCGGATAATCCAGAATCTGAGTTATCGTCACTACTAGAATTACCTGCTTCATCTAACAACCGCTGCAAAAGATCTAAAGCCTACATTTTTGTCATTTTTTGAGCTCTATCTGCAGTAGATGTTGAAGGGTTGAAAGCTGCCATTTCAGGAAAATCACACAACAAAATTGTATCGCACAGAATAAATCTAAAACAAATCAGAAAATAATGCACCGACCACGATATAAACTTCACAAACAAAAGGACTTCCTGTTTTTAATCCTAATTTTTCAAAAACTTGTTCATAAAAATTTGTAATCCCCACAAACAGAACAAAATTAGTGTGTCTCTATGGTATGCCAGTATACAATAGGGGAAAATTCATACGCCAGTTTACTGGCGAAAAGTCTTCAAAGAGTTAAATAAAGCATAAGGAAATAAGGTTAGGTAAAGCATGCACATTCATGGGACAGTTGTCAAAATAGTTGTTAAGTTTGAATCATCACAAAGCTGGAGGCCCAGTCAGTGGCCTTCAGTGCCATCTCTGCAGCAACAATTGACTGTTTCTCCAGCAGTTTCTGTTCTTGGTTGTACATGAAGCTAGTCTGTATCCTGATCAAATCTGGATGTTATAGGTCCACTTTGTGTACTCTAGCTCTTGTACCAAAGCACCCAGTCTTTCCATGTTTATTTCCATCTGCTTTCTATATTGAGTTATTTATATGTTTCCCATCCATTAAACTGAACCTAAGATTGTGAATCTGATCTTATTTGTGTGTGTGTTTTTTTAACTTAAACTCTATGTTTCCACTTCATGGTGTCTTAATGAATGCATACAATTTTATGAGCTTCATTTTCATTTTCTGTGATATTTGTTTTGCATGTTTACCATTTTAATTCTTTTCAGGATTTTTCTGTCTAGTTTCCTCTCCTCTGTCATGTTGTCACTTGTCATTGTGTGATATCTTATACAATCTTAATTATTTATATACATATACTATGTTTTTGGCTTTTTTACTATTATATCTAGCAGTTAACTTGGCTGACGTTATAAAGGGCATTGCATTTATTTTCTATCTATATTGCTGTAAAAGCAACATTTCTAAATTTTATATAAAATGAATCTTTTTTGATTAAAATGACTCAGTAGGAACGACATGGTGTCCAGTATGTTTAGCTGAGTATGTTGTTTGTCATGGTTCTAAAATAACCATAGTATGTGTGCGTGCATGCATGCGTGCTTGTGTGTGTGTGTATGTGTGTGTGTGTTTTTTAGTGATAGTAATAGTTTTATTAGCCAATTCTAGTTCAACCTCTCTAGGTTATAATTAGGGTATATATCATTTTTAACTTTTAGCTTTGTCCCCACTTCTTTTCACATTGGCCCTGGAGAAAAATTGTAAGGAAATTGAAAGAAGAGTGTACTAAAGGAGAAACTACAAGAATACTTGGTTTTGCAGATGCCATTGATATTGTTGGAGAAAATTAACTAGAGACTTTAAAAAACACTGACTCTCTTAAAAGAAACAGCTTGCAAAATAGGACTAGTTATCAGTCAAGATTGTTGGATATTCAGAATACATGATAATAATAAGACAGGAAAAGGATATAAACTCCAGCCACATACAAGTCAATGATATGAAAATCAAATGAATGGAAACATTTAAGTACTTGAGTGCAAACTTCAACTTCTCCAACATGCTGAGAGCAGGAATACAATCTAGAATTCAATCTCAAAATAATGTATGCTGTGTATTTTAACATCTGCTAAAGTCGAAGTCTGTGTCTTAAAAGACCAATCGTTTTACATGGTTCTGAAACAGGGAGCACAACTTATTATAATTTTTTTTTAAAGTCTTATGACAAATCTTTGGACCCATTAAAGATGCAAACGGCGGGGAATGGAGAGTGAGAAGTGACAACAAAATTCATAATCTGTTTAAATTACCACTGTTCACTGGCATCATGAAAGCTAATAGACTGAAATGGTTGGGGCATATTGAAAGAATGTCAGATGACAGAGAAGTCAAAACTGTATACATAAGGGGGTCGTCGACCATGAGGCAGACCAAGAAGAAGATGGAGAGATAATATCCAGACAGACCTACAAATACATGGTGTCACCATCTAGAAAGAGAAGGTCAGAGCGATGAATGGAGGCGGGTGACATCTGCAGCAATGATTCACGAGAGCTCGGAATGCTGAAGAAGAAGAAGTTTTTACCTTTCAGACACTGGATGTTTATATTTGTATAATACTTTTGGCTGTTTAACTCTTTCAGTTGCAAGTCGTTCTTAATTCAACACTGTCCATCCTTAAGTTTTTGTACCTTAGAGCCACTATTTAGTTTCATCTCATTGAACACTTAGTTTTGGGACATTAGAAGTTATAGTGATAATTGAGTTTTGATGGCTTAACATTAAAGATGACCAGGAGATAAATGTACCATTTAAATATACACCAGTGAACACACTAAAAGAGTTAATGTTGTCTAGATTTTAATTGTCAAACATAGAAGACTATCATTTATATTATCTAGATTTTACTTGTGAAGCATAGTAGATTATAACTTATATTGTCTAGATTTTAGTTTTAAGCCTATAGATTATTACTTTGAATATATGCCTTTCTGAATGATTTATACACATTTGAGAGATTCCTTTTTTTCTTCCCATGTAATTATTCTGTTCATCAGAGCTGCGATCAGTGGTCAGCAGTCCATCTTGTCCTCGCTGTGACATCATTGATGGTTTGAGTATGTCCCAAAATCTACACAAGACTCCTATCGATGTTTTCATTAGTTACCGAAGGTCAAATGGATCTCAGCTTGCCAGGTATTTTTATTTTCATAATTTGATCTAATTGTTTTTTTGTAACATTTGTTATGTTTTAGTTAATTAAACACTCTCTTAGGTTTCACATTTCTCATGGTTAGCCATTTTGGTTTGTCATTTGGGCATCATGTTATTGAATAGTTCTAACAGTAATTTTGTTTGTGTAATGAGATATTAGGATAAATAAAATGTTAATATTCTCTTCCTCTTCTTTGCGTTCACCAGCTGTAAACTCTGATGGAAAGTTCTGGTTGTTCGTCCACTTCTGGACTGCAGTCCTATTCCAGAGCGTGAGTGTTGCATGTGCATCCATTTGACAGATCTGACACATTTGTGTGCAGACTGTTGGTTCCTTGCCTCTTCGGCAGATGTACTCCGACTTCGAAGGAAGCTCTCAGTTAGTTGACTCTTACGACATGCTTTGGGTAGGCAGTGGGTCTATTCTTGTTTTCCCTATATTAGCGCTCCGGAACCCACATGGAGGACGTTAATATAGTTTTCCTTTCTCAAAAACTGACTGTATGGAAACAAAATGTATGTTTGTACATGTAAGTATGTGTGTGCACATGTGTGTGTGCCTGTGTGTATTCTCATGCATGGGTGCCATTTCACTCACAATAATAAATGTAGAAGCAAACTGTTGGCCTGTGGAATTATGCAGTGCGTCCACACAAAAACATTTATTAAAAATTGAGAGGTTTTGTAATGAGTTGTTTACCATTCGTAGTTATTTGTTTCCAGACAAATGTTAGACATAATGAATTGTGGAACGAGTGTTCTAACATAATATGCACACAGGACAGGTAATCAACAATAAAATTTATAATTACAATTTCGTTTTTGTAGTGTATGTTGACAGTATGTTTTTTTTTTTGTCATTAAATATTGTTGAACAATTAAGTTTCAGTAATTGAAGTTATACAATTGAATTGATAAATTTATTAAATAGAATTAGGTCACATATGAATTATCACCAACTTAGAAAATTTATATCTGGTTAAAAAAAAATTCTTTATTAGTTGTAAAAAACCTGGCAGTCCCTATAATGTTTTAGGTTTGCTATTTTCAAATTTTCAGTTTTCAAAACCTTGTAAATAATTACTAGTGCACACTATTATTGTTGATCTTAAGGCTTTTAGGCTTTGAGTAATATGTGCATGTATTTGTGATTGAATTTTGTTCTATTACATGTTTGATATAAAAGTTTTCCTAACTTGATCAAGTACTGGACACTTAGATAAAATATTTACGAAAATGTTTTTTATATTCGATCTGCAAACTGTTACATTGATGTTAATTTTAAGTGAAGATTTGTTTAAGCTTTTGAGATGTGTTTTTTTAAATGTGAGAATAAGGAAATCCCAAATAATAGATTACAAAGATATTATCTGACATGTTGCTGTTTTTCTGACTATATAAATAATTTAAAGACAATAAATAAATCTGTTGAACGTAAATGCACACAGATACTAATATTGAGATTTGCTTCACTGCTTATTATGCTTGGGTAACTTCAAAATAATCACCTCTGCTTATACAGATTATACTTGCATCAGATAGTGGCATCTTCTGCAGACTGCAATAATCTTGATTGTTAGTTGTCTTGCAGTTTTAGACTTGATGCCATACAGCTCTGACTCCTAGCCTACAAACTGACAGGTTATAAACTAACTTTGTCATATCATTTCACTTATTCCTGGGGGGAAGAGGTGACTGTCTTTACTGACAAGGAGCAAATCATGAAACAACTTCCAGATATGGTCTGTCATCCGTGATCTAAGTTAGGATTGTATCAAACTAAATAGACATCATGATTCTCAAGCCAGCGAAAGGCAGCAGTGACTGCCCCCACCTCCATTCTCAAACTAAAAATTGTGATATCATAAACCTGGCTTTGTTGCACCAAGCGACGTCCATTCACCTTCACTATGAACCCCCATGCACTTCGTCTGCCCCTCAACACAGAGCCATCTGTATATACAATCACATCACTTGGGCGAGAATTGTCATGAATCATTTGTTGAACTTCTGATTCTGCAGCACCAGCTGGCCAGTCCCTGCACTCACTCCCAAAGTAATAAGAACCCCACACAAGTCTGAAACATGATCGGACACTTTGACTCACTTCTCTCCTTGCCTAAATTTATCAAGCCTGCTCACATGTCTAATTGTGTCTTCAGCTTGTGCCATCCAAGACTTTTCTCTTTTCAGTCTGTGACTCTTAGCTCAATCCAGGGCTTTATGCAGGAGGTACTAGCTACCCATAAAGAAAATGCAGTCCCGCATGTCAAATATGGAAGCAATGCAAGCTTCAGCGCTGAAATTTGGAAACATAAAGACGCACCTAGACACATTTTCAGGATATGGTTGTACTATCTTTTGCCATTAAGTTATCCCCTGTTCCATACAACTAGCAAAGAGTGATGCTGAACTTAAAGATTCAAAAGGATCCACTCTTCTACTCTAATGAAGGCAGAAGTGTAGAAAAACTGATCAGGCATATTGCCTTAGAGGCTCATTAGCATGCATATGAATTCTCAAGAATTCAGTCAGAAGAATACAAGGTCTTCTACATTCGAGAAACCTCACTCAGGGATTTGCGACCCATTGGTACAAATGCCTCCACTAAAACAAGGAGACACAATTCAGTGGTAACATAGTAACAGTAACATTCAGCACTTTAGTCCCATTGTAAGAAATTACAAGTCTAGAAAATATGTGTTCCATCATGACAACAAGAATGCAGACATTTCATGAGAAATATGTGCTTCGTCATGACAACAAGAATGCAGATGCATCATAACTAACAACCATACCATTGGACAGGAAGAAGAATCTCCACCTACAAATCATAAAGATAAGAGACAATTATTTTCACTTGCCTTATAGAGCTTGCAGTAATCATCTTTTGTCTGTGGCAACTACAGATGTCTGTCACTGGCTTGTACCTGGTCAGCAGAAGGATGTATTTAGATGTGACATCTTTGATACATTGTGGGTGTGTATGTGAACAAAACTATATTTGGTAAACTTGATGCCATGGGAATATCAGCGGTTGTGTGTGTGTGTGCGTGCGTGCATGGGTGCGTGTGTGCATGCATGCGTGCACGTGCGCGTGCTTGCTTGGCGATCATGCCTCTCCATAATCTGCGATCTCCTGCAGCATGTATCAGTTTGTGTGCCGACACACCTCCATGCTATGCAAAAAGACTGTCAAGCATCTTCTCTCATTTTCTTCCTCTATCCCTCCTTCCACAGATCTTTCCAGTGGTCACAACATGTTCTATTTTCCCTCTTCTCATAACATGGCCGAAAAATGATGACTGTCTCCTTCTGATGTCTGTAAATTCAACCTACTTATCTCAAATTACTGCTGTTCTGTTGTCAATTAAAAAAAAACATTGATGTCATTCACACACAATTTGCTTCCCGCCATAGCTTTTCTTTTTTTAGGGGTTGTTGTTGCATATTCATTTTCCAGGCCTGCTACCTGAAGATTTGACATTACATGTCAGTCCAACAGGTTTGACATCACATGTCAGTCCAACAGGTTTGACATCACATGACAGTCCAACAGGTTTGACATCACATGTCAGTCCAACAGGTTTGACATCACATGACAGTCCAACAGGTTTGACATCACATGACAGTCCAACAAGGGCAAATCCCAGAACCTTAAATATAGTTGTAATTGAAGACTCCTTGGCTACACTATTAATGTTATGTCCCCTTCTGACCCAAATGGTTGGGAATTGCTTTATATCCTGAGTTAGGAGGCAAACAGTTGTTTTTGTTTTTGTTGTTAATTATTTCATGTTCCTTCCTGATTTGTGAAAAATAATATTTTGGGAGTAAACGACACACCTTCCCTTCCCTGTGTTTTCCCTGTAGACTTTTGCATAAAATACAGCGGAATGAGTGTGTAAAAGAGTTCTACATTGGAGAGAATGTAAGTATGAGCTTGTCATAAACCCTAAACTGCTGTAGTGACAAAAACAATTTCCCTTTTAATTTCACTTCTGGTAGACTGTCATTTGCTTTATGTGAAAGTTATCTACAGTTTTAGTAGATTTTTTTAAATTGAATGCTAGCTACATTGCGCTTGTTGTGCAGTCATGTCCCACATGGTATCAGTCAGAAGAGCATGTGGCTAAGTAATTATTTTAAAAAGGAAAATATGAGCTCAGTAAAAATATAAGCCATGATGAGACATTATCTCAAACATGTACTTGTTTTTTCTACGAAAATTAATAAAGCAAACTTTCACAATATGATTAGCACTTATATGATTAAATTATATGCTTCCTTTTAATGTTTTTGAATGTTTAAAAGGTTAGGAGTGACTAGTATTAAAGGAATAAAAGAATAGATACATTACTCGATAAGTGGCCCACAATCAGAGTGACTTCCCTTCCCATTTATGGCTCTATCTGGTATAATGCTTGCACTATGTGGCAGGGGTTTCAAGCGTACTGAGTTCTATTTTGCTCCTTGTTGTCTATGCTGTGAGCTTTTAACGGTCCCAAAACATGTACAGCTGGACCTAACCCCCCCTCCTCACAGTCTCAGCCTATGTCCCATGACTGTATGCAGCCAATATTATACACTACATTCAGTCGTGGGACGTAGGATGCACCCCTGCGACATAGTGCAAGCTATACCACATTAAGGCATCAATTTGAAGGGAAGTCACTCTCATTGTGGGCTGCTCAACATGATTAGAACCAAAGAATATATTTAATTGTTGAAGAGAATAAACAGTGACACTAATTATGGGTGATAAAACACCAGATACATATATTCTCCAGAATTATGAACTGCTAATTTTTGTTGTTGTTTCTTCTTCTTCTTCTTCTTCTTCTTCTTCTTCTTCTTCTTATGACTTTTATCCTGCAATGGAGCATAGGCAAATAACTTGCTACAAAAGTGTTGAGAAGGCAAATACATTATCCAAAGAAAAAAAAATGGCACTCCTTGGAACGCTAATCCTCGGGGGATGC